TGAGACGCAAATCAAAACGACAATGAGATATCATCTCACACCTGTCAGGATGGCTATCATCAACTAATCGATAAACGACAAGATGCTGGCAAGGATTCGGAGAAAAAGGAACCGTGTGCACAGCTGGTGGGAATGAATATTGGTACAGACACTGTGGAATATAGTGTAGAGTTTACAAAAAACTAAAACTGGAACTCCCAATTGACCCATCTAGGAAAATATCCCAAGAAATCAGAAACAGCCCTAGCCAGTTTTGCTCAGTGGATAGACGCGGCCTGCAGGTAGAAGGGTCCCAGGTTTGATGCCACTCAAGGCAACATGCAGCACTGTGGGCTCAAATCCCAATAGGGTGCGTGCAGAAGGCAGATATCAATGATTCTCTCTTATTGTTGATGTTACTATCTCTCCCTCCTTCTCCTTTCCTCTCTCTGAAATCAATAATGAAATATTAAAAAAAAAAAAGAAATTACAAACACCAATCAGAAAGGACATGTTCACTCCTATGTTCATAGCAGCACAATTTAAAACAGCTAAGATTTGGAAATAGCTTAATTGCCCATCAGTAGATGAGTGGATTAATATCTGTGGTACATCTTTGGCTCAAATAAATTCACAAAAATTCGGAAAAAAACACACACAACAAACTGTGGAACATCTACACAATGGAATTCTATACTGCTGTTAAAAAGGAGGAACTCTTGCCATTTGCAACAGCATGGATGGAACTGGAGAGCATCATGCTAAGCAAAATAAGCCAGGTGGAGAAAGATGAATATCACAAGATCACTCATTTGTGGTCAATGAGGGAAAATGGAGACATATGTAATACAATATATATTACTTCAAGCAATAAAGAATTTTTTTAAAAAATTGTGAAAATATCCACAGTACACAATGCAATCTACAGATTAAATGGAACCCTGAGATTAATTCTTATGGTATTTTACAAAGACATGAAAAGAGAACCTTGAAATGTATAGATCTAAAAACTGTGAATAGCAAAAACAATCGTGAGTGAGAAACAAGCTGGTGGCATCACACTTCCTGACCTCAATTAAGTACAAAGAGAAAGCAAGCAAACAGTGTGTTGCTGAAGAAACACAGACACATACATCAACAGAACAGAAAACACAAAAATCAAGCCTGTCACAAACATTCAAGTAACCTTTGTCAGAACTGCAAGACAGATAAGAAGGGAAAGATAGTTTCTTCAAAGAATGGTGCTGCTGACAATCAATACTCACATGTAAACACAACAATACTGGACACCACTGATAAAATTTAACACAACATACGTAACAGAATTGAATGTCAGCGCTAAAACTTAAAACACCTCAGAACAACTTAGAGAAAAAGTTTTCGAAATTTGTTATGACATGATTTTCTGAATGTGACACCAACCATCAGACAAAAAAGAAAAATAAACAGTCCAGATGACAACAAATAAAGAAAAAGCTGCCAAAACCGGTTTGGCTCAGTGGATAGAGCGTCGGCCTGTGGACTGAAAGGTCCCAGGTTCGATTCCGGTCAAGGGCATGTACCTTGGTTGCGGGCACATTCCCAGTGGGAGATGTGCAGGAGGCAGCTGATCGCTGTTTCTAACTCTCTATCTCTCTCTCCCTTCTCTGTAAAAAAATCAATAAAATATATTTTAAAAAAAAGAAAAAAGAAAAAGCTTCTTCACAGCACAACAGCAATAAACAAAATGAAATGAAAGGAAATCTAGAGAACAGAAGATAATAGTTGCAAATCTTATGAAGGAATGGCTTGGAGAGATAGTGGATACAGTTCTGATCAGCACAATAAAGCGAATATTGAGCTATAGCCAGAAATTCACACAAATAGTTAAAGTTCTCAGGGAATAATAAAGTTATGTTATACTATAACTATACTGTCAGCTAATAACAATGCAATGACTTGTCTTAAAACCAAAATCAATATAACTTCATTAAAAATACTTTATTGTGCCCTAACCGGTTTGGCTCAGTGGATAGAGCATCAGCCTGTGGACTCAAGGATCCCAAGTTCGATTCTGATCAAGGGCATGTACCTTCGTGGTGGGCACAACCCCAGTAGGGAGTGTGCAGGAGGCAGCTGATCAATGTTTCTAACTCTCTATCCCTCTCCCCTCCTCTATGTAAAAAATACAATAAAATAAATTTTTAAAAAATACTATATTGCTAAGAACTAGTAACAAGCATCTGAGCTTGCTAACACTAGACCTGCCAAATGCAGGGTTGCTAAAAATGTGGACTTTGTAGAAAAGTGGGTGTGGGGCAACAATATCTGCATCTGAAAAGCACAATTAAGTACATGCAAAAATATGTTCCTCGATGTGATAGGCAATTAATATATAATATATACAAGGTAGTCACGAGAATGTTTAACCAAAAAATAAAGTTATTAAGCAGAAAAAGGATATAGAAACAATTCCTCTAAAACTATGTACAAATGACCAACAGGAATATAGAAAATGCTTTCCTCACTGATCAAGGTGGAATCAGTCTTCCAAACACACTACCAAGCACAAATCCTTTCCTGTGAATTTAGTGCAGCGGGGACTATTGGGACTTCAGGAATACAAGGGAGCAGCAGAAACAGACCAACCCGCGCCAGGACAGCAACCACCCAGGAAACTGGAAAAACAAGCAGTTCCACAGTCTATATGGAAGGACAGAGCACACCCTGGGGTATGGGGCCTGGGAAACCTCAAAGCCAAGTGCAGGTCACTGGTGAGAGTGAGGGTCTTACCCAGCGAGGATATAAGTTCAAAGTTCTCCAGCATCACATTCAGGTACAGCTGTCTCTGACCCTCATCAAGGAGGCTCCATTCCTCCCTGGAGAAGTACAGGGCAATGTCCTCAAAGGTCACGCCAACCTGTCAGAATGGAGACATTTAAAACCAAAGCTGCCTTTCTGAGAACCAGTAATTCTACACCTTACACACCTTCCCCCACCCCTCAACCTCCTCCAGGGCACCCGGTTAGTGTGGACACCAGGCCCAATGCCAGTGCAGGCTGCTCTCCCATCACAGACCCATTACTCACTGCATGGCCCTCAGCAGAGCAGCTGGGTTGAGAGGGAAGGTTTGGGAGAGGGGAAGAGAGAGAGCAATGCCATTTAAGGTCTGGGCGATGCCACCCCAGGCCCCGGATGGACCCACAGCCGGAAAAGCCCCGAATGAGTCTGTGACATCCACCCTGCAGCCTCTGATCTTTCCGTCAATACTCACAGCCACATCCTCAGGGACCTTCAGATGCGAGTCACCCCCGTCCCCTCTGCCCTGCACCTGCTGTGTCCTCAGAAGCCACAACACTCCTCTCTCCCCTCCACCTTCCTCACGGTCCTCCACGCGGGACTGAGCCGCAGGACGGGACAGGCGCCCTCCCCAGGCTGTGGTGTCTGTATGAGGAGGCGGTGAGGGCCTGGGGGACTCGACTCACCTCAGCCCGTCTCCTCAGTGGGGGCGCCGCCATTGCCCTCTGTGCGCTGAGCGGGGCGTAAGCCGGGGGGAGTAGAGGCCGCTGCAGGAATGGCAGTCCCTGTCCCGGCCCTGGCGTGGGTCCGTGTGGTGACTCCGAGCTTCAAGCCGACGTGGGCGCTGTGAGGACCACTGGAGGCTCCGACATTGGCTGTGAGGCGGGGACCACCACTCTCGGACCTTCTCCAAGGGACTGCGGACACGGAAAACCTCACGGCCTGAGACAAAAATCTGAGAAGATGAAATCCTGCCACAAGGATTACCGGTCCCGCCCTCCCGAAGCGCCCAAACGGAAATGCCTTCTCTGACCCTCCATTGGCTCCGCCTGATGCCTCTCCTTGAGTGGCCTTCTGGGTAATGTAGTTTCTAAGCGCCAAGGCCAGGATCCAGTATTTCTCAGTTAACTCTAGGACTGGATTTAGGGGCAAATAGCCCAAGAACACACCAAATACACTCAGGGTCCTCTAGAGCCTTCAGGGGAGGTGATTTCTGAGGCAAGTTTGTTTCTCCTGCACGTGAAGGGCTTTCTTTAGCTGCGGTTCCATTGAATCCATTATACAAAGTTCATGTCACAAAACAGACACTCATACTTCAGAGCATCTGCTTCTGATGCCATCCAAAGTGTCAGCTCTGCCTGGGCTGCAGTGTGGATAAGATGGCCAAGAGACAAGTGAAAAAATGCTCAAAGTGACTGATCATCAGAGAGATGCAAATTAAAGCAACAATTAGGTATCACCCCACCACTTTCATAATGGCTGCCATCAGCAAATCAACAAATGACAAGTGCTGGGAGGATGTGGAAAAATGGGAACCCCAGTACACCCCAGATGGGAATGCTAATTGGTACAGCCATAATGGATTCAGTTTGAAGTTTTTGTAAAACATTTAATATGGAACTGTCATTTAATTCAGTGATTCTACTCCTAGGAATATATCCCAAGAAACCTGAAACAATCACATAGATATATGTCCCCCTATGCTCATAGCAGCACAATTTACAATAGCAAACCTCTGGGAACTGCTCAAGTGCCCATCCGTAGATGATTGATTGGATATAAAAGTGTGGTACATTTATACCATGGAATACTATGCAGCAGTAAAAATGAAGACTCTCTTCCCCTTTCACACAGCATGTAGGGACCTGGAGAGCATCCTGCTAAGTGAAGTAAGTCAAGAGAACTATCAGTTCATCTCACTCATATATGTAATTTAATTAACAAAAAAAAAAACCGTGTTGAATGGAATAAATTCAGAGTGTGGAATTCACAATGTGGAATCTTTTAAGTCAAGAGAACTATCACTTCATCTCACTCATATATGTAATTTAATTAACAAAAAAAAACCCTGTTGAATGGAGTAAATTCAGAGTGTGGAATTCACAATGCGGAATCTTAAAAGGGAAGGCGGGGAGGGTAAAAACAAAAAAAGAAAGAAAAAACATCCTTCCCTGTGAACTATGCGCACGCCTTGACCGGAATCGAACCTGGGACCTTTCAGTCCGCAGGCCGACGCTCTATCCACTGAGCCAAACCGGTTTCGGCAGAGCATTTTCTTCTGTTCCCTGAAAGCAGTGGGAAAGCTCTAGCTTGCTGGTTTCTAGATCTGCTCTAAATTTGTGTTTGTAAACCTGTCTTCTGTCAGTTTTGTCCCTGGAAATGCTGATACCCCTCCATGTAACCTTCTCATCCTTCACATGAGTCGATTGCTTTTGGTGTTGTTGTAAGAAATGTCCAAACCTGTGGAGAATTTCTCTCAGTTTATTTGCCCGAAGCCTGCGACACTGCCGCGAAACAAGAAAACACATTGAGGTGGGAGAATGGCAGTTTTGCACCTTCTTTATACATTAGACTCTAAGGAGAAGACATAAGGGGGTTATATGAAATTCACTGGTGATAATATAGGAGAGACAGTTAAGGAGGGAAATCTCTGGGATTGGATAAAAAGCAAAAAACAATAGACACAAACTTCTTTTTACATGTTACAGAACAGTTAATACTTCATATTTAAAACAATAACAATAATAATTGGGGCTCTGTGGTCTGCTGTGTTGGGAGATGGTGCCCTTAAGATTCTGTAAAACGGAAATTTCCCTGAAAATCCAAAGATATGTTATCCCAGATGCAAAAACACAATAGCCAGACTTAATAAGGTACACACAGACCTCTGCAAAACAAAATAAAACAAAAAACAAGGCTAGGACATAACTACCCCTGTGGCTTACTTTTGCTTAGAAAGTTTTAACTTCAAGCCATCTTATATGGTTACTTTTGGCCTCTGAGTTCCTAAGATTGGTCATGGCATGCCAGGATCCCTGAGCTTACTAGGTTTGGTATGTGCCATCATTTTTGTCCAAACTGGGGAGTCAGAACTTGTTGGTTTGCCCTAACCAGTTTGGCTCATTGGATAGAGCAGTGGTCTGTGGACTGTAGGGTCCCAGGTTCAATTCCAGTCAAGGGCATGTACCTTGGTTGTGGGTGTATCTCCAGTAGGGGGTGTGCAGGAGCAGCTGATGGATGTTTCTAACTCTCTATCCCTCTCCCTTCCTCTCTGTAAGAAATCAATAAAGTAAAAAAATAAAATTAAAAAAGAACTTGTCAGTTGAGGAGAAAATTCCGTGAGTGCTTTATTTCCTGGCAGACTCATTGTTCACATACTCCTGGACAGAGTGCCTCCATATTGCTGGTGTCCCTTTATTTGGACTCCTAGACATAGTTAAGGTTCAGGCCGATAAAGCCTCAGGATCTAAATGTGGTGGAGGTATTTGTAAGGAAAAGAAAAAGGTCTTTCTATTCCTTTATTGTGGTCTTTCACAATTAATGAGAAGCACCTGCTAATTCAGTGGATCTCAACCTTGGCTGCACATTAGAATCACCTGGGAATCTTTTTAAAATCCTGATTTCTGGGCCTCATCATTAGTCACAAAGAAACGGAATTTCCAGAGGATAAGGCCCAGAAACCAGGTTTTTATAAAGATTCCTAGGTGATGCAATGTGCTGGGAGGCCTGGCTGCCCAGGGAGGGGCCTGTGTAGGGAGCAAGGGTCCCTCTGGGAGCTATTCCTTCCTCTCTGCACAGGAGGGGTCTGGGCGGGGCCACTTGTGCCACCAAGGAGCCCTGCCCTTGGCATCTGAACACAGTCTGTAGGCACAAGGACCCTTCCTCCTACAGCAGGGATGGGACTTCCCAGGCAGGAGACCCAGGGGCTGCAGGGGGACATGTCTGCCTGCACCTCCTCTGGGCACCTCTGCCTGGGCGCTGGTCGGGACAGCACTGCTCTCCACACACAGCAAAGGAACTCAAGTGGGACTATTTTTCCTTGGGAATGGGCAGAGGTCGTGGTTGAAACATTCCCTGCGTGCAACCAGGTCACCCCCGGGAACTCCTGCAGCAGAGCCAGCCGCGGCTGGAGGGGTCTGAGCATCTGCTGGAACCTGAGGCCGCTGCCTCCTGAGCTCTCAGCATGTCCCCCCAGCCTCTGCCATGTTGTCTCTTGCTTCCCTTCAAGAGTCATTAAGTCACCTAGTTGCTGGGCTCCGCATGCCCGCCCACCCCTGGACGGCTCTGGGCTGGACTGGCACAATGCCTACCGGCCCTCTGGCTGCTCTGCCTCTGGACACAAGAGGGAGGGGCCAGTGTAGGAAGGACAAAGCCACTGCCCACTCCCCCCTCACCTCACTGACAGACTGGGAATCCTGTGCCCAGAGGCTCCTGTTCCCACCCTCATTGCCTGGGGCAGCTGGGCTGGCGGGACCTTAGGCGGGATCTGCCTGGGAGGCTGCAGTCCTTGCTGGCCCCTCTTGGGAATCCTGTACCCCATCTGCTGCCTCTCCTGGAACCCGGGCTCCCTGGAACCCAGGTTTTGGGCCTCATTTTGGGAGCACACACTCAGTATGGCAGGGGCACGCCTCGCTCAGGCTGGGAGGCTGAGGGTGGGTATTATTTTCCTCTGTTCTCTGAAAGAAAGGGGAAAGCTCTATAACAGGTTGAGTAATACGCAGGACAATTGCAGTTGTGCTACTTTTTTAGACTCTAAGGGGGTGAAGTGAAATTAACTGGTGATAAATTAGGTGGGAGAGCTAAGGAGGAAAATATTTTGGATTGAATAAAAAATGAAATAAAAAATACAACGTTTCTTTTTAAAAGTATATCAATTAGTTAATATTTAACCCAAGAACAATAATAATTGGGGCTCTGTGATCATCTATGTTGGGAGATTGTGCTCTTAGGAGTCTGTGAAAAAGAAATGTCTTTGAAAATCCAATGGCAGGTTATTCCAGATGCAAAAAGACAACAGACAGGCTCAATAAGGTAAAAACTGACCTTGGAAAACACACACACACACACACACACACACACAGATACACAGGCTAGGGCTGTGGTCGGCAAACTGTGGCTCACAAGCCACATGCGGCTCTTTAGACCCTTCAGTGTGTCTCTTCCACAAAATACCACGTTTGGACACGCACCTACAATGCGATTGAAACTTTGTGGCCCATGCACCTGAGTCAGTTTTCAACCTGGGCAAGTCTATTTTGAAGAAGTACTGTTGATATTTGGCTCTGTTGACTAATGGGTTTGCCGACCACTGGGCTAGGACATAACTAGCCCTGAGACTCACATTTACTAAGAAAGTTTTTACTTGAAATCATTCTATGTGGTTACTTTTGGCTTCTGACTTTGTAAGATTGACCATGCCATGCCAGGCTCCCTGAGCTTGCTAAGTTTAGTATCTGCCAACATTTTTGTCCATACTGGGGACTTAGAACTGGTGGGTTCAAGAGAAAATTCAATGAGTGTTTTATTAAGTCTGAGACCTACTGCTTACGACCTAATGAACACAATGCCCCCGGTATTGCCTTTATTTGGTCTCCTAGAAGTAGTCACTCTTCAGGCAATAAAGAATTAGGTTCTAAGTGTGGTTGAGGCAGTTGTAAGGAAAAAAAAAGTCTTTTTCTTTGCTATGGCCTTCCACAATGTATGGGAAGCATCTGCTAATTAAACCCCAAGATTGTTGATTCCTAATTCACACAGATGTTCTGCTCAAATTGCTGAAGTAGATAAGGTACTTTCAAGGCTAAATTCATACATACTCCTTCGTCTTGCTGTTGTCACACCCCAGAGATAATTTGCAACATGGGCCTCGACTTCAGTGTTGGAGAACCTATGACACACAGCTGTCTTTTTGAATCAGGTCACAGCTGTCCTTTTGAATCGGGAGGGAGTCACAAGCTCCAGACTGCTCTGAACGCCGGTTCCGGGAAGTCTCTGGGGACCCAGGACTCATACAGGGAGAAACTGGACTGTCTGGCAGCAGGCAGAACTCGGAACATGAGCGCGGCTTTCCCTCAGAGGTGCTTGCAACATTTATCAGGACACTGAGACCTGGCGCCTTGGGCAGGGCTGAGGATCAGCCATAGCTGCTTGCTCCGCCCTATTGATTCCTTGAGACCCCACCCCTTGAGGCTGCAGAGGCTTTTGCATATGAATGCCCTGGCCCCTTGAAACCTGAAAATTACCTAACAAATCGCAGCTGGGCCACACAGACCCAGAACTTCCAAGAGAAGGCCAAGGCCCCCCAGCAGCTTGCATTGCTTCACAGCTGGGCCTCATCTGGACACCGCCAAACTCCAAAAAAAGGAAGGGGAATCTACAAGCGCTTCATAGCTCCTGCTGGGTAACCTCAGGCAGAGGCTAAATTAGCATCTCCTTAGAACCAAGAGCCAGTGTACCCAGTGGTCAGAGTGGGACCATCCAGATTACAACTCCTCAGATCCATAAGGGACATACTCAGGGGGCAGACTCAGTGAGCACCAAAGCCCCACATAAGCAAGTCTTGCCACAGAAGGGTGTCTTCAGCACAGAAGTTCTCCCACTGCAGACACAGCTGATTCTCACTGCCAATTGGCCTGGAGATCAATACTTCCCAGTGATACCTAAAACAATCAAGGCATAACTACAATAAGACTGTGCACAAAGCCCACAAGGGGGTGCAATAAGAGTGTCCATCTCAGGTAACTGGGGAGGCTGAGCCACTGGGCCCTATAGGACACCTAGCACACAAAACCACTCTAACAACAAAGGGAAGCATAAAAAATGTGGAGACAAAGAAATAACTCCCAAATGACAGAAATGAAGGAAAGCAAACTACTGGATATAGAGTTTTAAACAACGTTTATAAGGTTTTTCAAGAATTTTATGGAAACCGCAGATAAATTTAGTGAGACCCTGGAGGATATGAAAAAAGACCAACTAGAAATTAAGCACACACTGACTGAAATAAAGAATAATATACAGAGATCCAACAGCAGACAAGAGAATCCCAAGAATCAAGTCAAAGATTTGAAATACGAAGAAACAAAAAATACCCAACTGGAAAAGCAAAAAGAAAAAAGAATCCAAAAATATGAAGATAGTGTAAGGAGTCTCTGGGACAACTTTAAGCGTACCAACATCCGAATTATAAGGGTGCCAGAAGAAGAGAGAGGGCAAGATATTGAAAACCCATTTGAAGAAATAATGACAGAAAACTTACCCCACCGTGTGAAACAAATAGACTTACAAGTGCAGGAAGCGCATAGAACCCCAAACAAAAGGAATCCAAAGAGGACCACACCAAGACACATCATCATTAAAATGCCAAGAGCAAAAGACAAAGAGAGAACCTTAAAAGCAGCAAGAGAAAAAAAGTCAGTTACCTACGAGGGAGTACCCATACTACTGTCAGCTGATTTCTCAACAGAAACCATGCAGGCCAGAAGAGAGTGGCAAGAAATATTCAAAGTGATGAATAGCAAGAACCTACAACCAAGATTACTTATCCAGCAAAGCTATCGTTCAGAATTAAAGGTCAGATAAAGAGCTTCACAGAGAAGAAAAAGCTAAAAGGCGTTCATCACCACTGGCTTAAGTGAAATAAGCCAGTCAGAGAAGGATAAAAACCAGCATTATATGAAATGCTGAAAGGTATTCTTTAAGCAGAAGAAGAAGAAAAAGGAACTCTTACCATTTGCCATAGCATGGATGGAATTGGAGAGCATTATGCTAAGTGAAATAAGCCAGTCAGAGAAAGATAAATACCACATGATCTCACTCATTGGTGGAATATAATGAACAACATGAACAGATGAACAAGGACTGATCCAGAGACGGAGAGGCATTGACTGGACTGTCGGTCCTTGGAGGGAAGGTAGGGGAGGGTGGGGGTAGGAGGGAAGGATCAACCAAAGGACTTATGTGCAAGCAAATAGGCCTAACCAATGGACACAATGGGGGAGAGGGGAGTGAGGACAGGAGGGGGGAGGTAGGGGGTAACGTGTGGATACGGACACATGTGTATATCTTAATCAAAAAAAAATATTTTTTTTTAAAAAAAGAAATCTAGTGAGACCTTTGAGGATATGAAAAAGGACCAACTAGAAATTAAGCATACACTGACTGAAATAAAGAATATTATACAGAGTTCCAACAGCAGACTAGAGGATGTCAAGAGTCAAGTCAAAGGTTTGAAATATGAAGAAGCAAAAAACACCCAACCAGAAAAATAAAAAGAAAAAAGAATAATAAAATATAAAGATAGTGTAAGGAGCCTCTGGGACAACTTCAAGCGCACCAACATCCAAATTATGGGGGTGCCAGAGAGAGAGGGCAAGATATTGAAAACCTCTTTGAAGAAATAATGACAGAAAACTTCCCCTACCTGGTGAAACAAATAGACTTACAAGTGCAGGAAGCACAGAGAACCCCAAACAAAAGGAATCCAAAGAGGACCACACCAAGACACATCATCATTAAAATGCCAAGAGCAAAGACAGATGGAATCTTAAAAGCAGCAAGAGAAAAAAAAGTCAGTTACCTACAAGTGAATACCCAAACTACTGTGAGCTGATTTCTCAACAGTAACTATGCAGGCCAGAAGGGAGTGGCAAGAAATATTCAAAGTGATGAAAAGCAAGAACCTACAACCAAGATTACTTTACCCAGCAAAGCTATCATTCCGAATAGAAGGTCAGATAAAGAGCTTCACAGATAACAAAAAGCTAAAGGAGTTCATCACCACCAAACCAGTATTATATGAAATGCTGAAAGGTATTCTTTAAGGAGAGGAAGAAGAAAATGGTAAAGATACAAATTATGAACAAATACACATCTATCAACAAGTGAATCTAAAAATCAAGTGAATAAATAATCTGATGAACAGGATAAACTGGTGAATATAATAGAATCAAGGGAATAGAAAGGGAATGGACTGACTATTCTTGGGGGGGAAAGGTGTGAGGGGGGAGTGGTAAGAGACTGAACAAATAATAATCTGAACAACAAAGATTTAATTAAAAAAATAAAATATTTTGATTACTTAAAAAAAAAAGAAAAAAGGGAGCTTCAGTTCCGGTCAGTCTGAAAACGGACCTCAGCCCCTCACCCAGACTGGCCAGGCACCCCAGTGGGTACCCCCACCCTGAAGGGGGTGTGACCAGTTGCAAACACCCATCAGCCCCTCACCCAGGCTGACCAGGCACCCATGCGGGACACCCACCCCGATCCGGGATACCCTTCAAGGCAAACCAGCATTCCCCCACCCATGCACCAGGCCTCTATCCTATATAGTAAAAATGTAATATGCAAACTGACCCTAACAGCAGAAAGACTGGGAATGACTGGTCACTATGACACACATTGACCACCAGGGGGCAGATGCACAATGCTGGAGCTGCCCTCTGGTGGTCAGTAGCTCCAACATGGGGGAACTCTGCTCAGCCACAAGCCAGGCTGATGACTGCCAGTACAGCCGTGATGGTGGGAGCCTTTGGCAAGTGGGCATTCCCCGAGGGCTGCCGGGCTGCCAGAGGGATGTCTGACTGCCATCTTAGGCCCAATCCCCCAGGAAGCAGGCCTAAGCCAGCAGGTGGTCATCCCCTGATGGGCCCCAGATTGCGAGAGGGCACAGGCCAGGCTGAAGGAACGCCCCCTCCCCAGTGCACGAATTTTTGTGCACATGGCCTCTAGTATAAAATAAATGTCAAAAATATAAATTTTTGTTTTACTATGGTTGCAAATATCAAGACATTTCTATATACGACATGGCACCAGAGTTACGTTAGAGTTTTCAAAATGCCGACATGCCGAGCTCAAAAGGTTCGCCATCACTGCTCTACTTAGTAGAAAGTGTCCTTCGCTCCACCTCTTCTGAACTGTTCATAACTTTGTCTGTAGTCATATTTTATATACTTGGGAAAAATACTGATGAGACACTTCCCTATACATCTGCCAGAGTGTCTGCTGGAAAGCAAACAAAGTGAAACTTTTAAAGACAGGCCCTGGTATCTACTCAACTTCAGCACAGCTCGAGGCCCCTGCATTTTTTCTCTCTTAGCCAAAGCCAATGATGAAAAGCAGAACCCGGCCTTTCTGCCTTGCCCTGTATTGACAACCAATACTTGCCTCTTTATTCTCTTGGAAAGTAAAACAAACTTCCTCTCTGCATGGCTTCTTTTAGCTGTAAATTCTTCCACAGCCTGCATCACCTCCCAAACCCTAAGAGTGTTCCTTTTTTCTAAGAAGTTCAGTGCGTGAAAATGAGGGAAATGACATTGTAGAGGAGGGGTGGGCAAACTTTTTGACTCGAGGGCCACAATGGGTTCTTAAATTGGACCGGAGGGCCCGAACAAAAGCATGGATGGAGTGTTTGTGTGAACTAATATAAATTCAAAGTAAACATCATTACATAAAAGGGTACGATCTTTTTTTTGTTTGTTTGTTTGTTTTTAGTTTTATTCATTTCAAACAGGCCGATCCGGCCCGCGGGCTGTAATTTGCCCACGGCTGTTGTAGAGGCAAAGTAATATTTTCTTCTCTTATAAACTAACCAATAGAGTCAAAAGAACACCCAAAATTAAAGAAATCCTTGGAAATAGCCTTCATTATCTTACAAATAAAGAGACCTGAGTTTGGCAGTCTTAGTTCAATGATGACTTAGGAACTCCAAAAATTCATCACTGGCATCTGATGAATGAGAGTGTGTCCCTGACAATGGCAGCTTTTCTCCAACATTATGTTTACTGGGCAAACAGGAATTAGTCCTATGTGGGAATTCATGACAGGGAAACAAGGTAGAACTAAGGGCTTAGGTATTTCTAAATTACTTCAACAAATGAGACAACAGAGTTAGCATCCCTGGGCACAGGGGGATCGCGATTGATGCCATCTGTAGGGTCCTTAGAGGTGGTTCAGGTGAAATACCTTCAGCAACAGAAATACGCAGTAACATACACAAGGAAACACTTCTATGTTGGAAAGTGTAATATAGACACATATGGTCCAAGAGAAATACTAACAAACAGAACAACAAAAACAGTTGGGGGATATTACATAATGGAGGTGATTAAAAGTATGAGATGTAATTCAGACTTCACATATTTTCTTACACAATTGTTAAATCCTAACTTAGAAACGACATTTCCTACACATCCAAAAAAAATGTTCACATTTCGACTCCTTTGGGCAGAGCAGATTTACAAATTTGGCTAGAGATATCTCACATTAATTACACTCATAACGGTTTCCTCCAGTGTGAACACTTAGATGATATTGAAGACTATTGATAGTTGTAAAAGATTTCCCACATTCACTCCATTTATAAGATTTCTCTCCTCAATGAGATCTCCGATTACCAGGATGGTGAGTGCTAGTGGTAAAAGAATTTCCACATTCACTGCATTCATAAGGCTTTTCTCCAGTGTGAACCCTATGATGAATACGAAGGTTAGAGTTATTGGTAAAAGTTGTTTTTTTTTTAAATATATTTTATTGATTTTTTACAGAGAGGAAGGGAGAGAGATAGAGAGTTAGAAACATCGATCCAGCTGCCTCCTGCACACCCTGTACTGGGGATGTGCCCACAACCAAGGTACATGCCCTTGACCGGAATCGAACCTGGGACCTTTCCGTTCACAGGCCGACGCTCTATCCACTTAGCCAAACCGGTTCCGGCTATTGGTAAAAGTTTTACCACATTCTGCATTGATAAGACTTTTCACCTGAATGAACTCTCTTATGATGATAAACGTGAGTTAGTTGTAAAAGATTTTCCACACGCACTGCATTTATAAGTCCTTTCTCCAGTATGAACTCTGTGATGATTATGAAGGGTTGAGTTACTTGTAGAAGATTTTCCATATTCACTGCATTTATAAGGCCATTCTTCTGTGTGAACACTCCAATGTAAATTAAGTTCAGTCCTAGTTTTAAAAGACTTCCAGCATTCACTGCCTTGATAAGGCTTTTCCCCCTGTGTAAACGCTCTGATGATGTTGAAGACCACTGCAACGTTTAAAATACTTTCCACATTCACTACATTTATAAAGATTTTCCCCAGTATGAAATCTCTGAGGACAATGAAGTTCAGAGCTAGTGACCTTGGCGATAAAAGACTTTCCACATTCACTGCACTGATAAGGTTTTTCTCCAGTGTGAACTCTCTGATGATATTGGAGACCACTGGTACTTGTAAAAGTTTTTCCACATTGCCTACATTGATAAGGCTTTTCTCCTGTGTGAATTCTCTGATGTCTATGAAGGCCAGAGTTAGCTGTAAAAGATTTCCCACATTCACTGCATTTATAAGGTTTCTCTCCAGTGTGAAATCTCTTATGATATTGGAGACCAGTAGAACCTGTAAAAGTTTTTCCACATTCAATGCATTGATAAGGCTTTTCTCCTTTGTGCACTCTCTCATGATATTGGAGACCACTGAAACCTGTAAAAGTTTTTCCACATGCACTGCATTGATAAGGCTTTTCACCAGTGTGAACTCTCTGATGTCTACGAAGGCATTTGTTGCTGGTAAAAGCTTTCTCACACTCGTTGCATTTATAAGGCTTTTCTCCAGTATGAACTCTCTGATGTATGTGAAGGAGGGCCTTAGTGGTAAAAGATTTCCCACATTCACTGCATTTATAAGGCTTTTCTCCAGTGTGAACACTTTGATGAATATGAAGGTTGGTAATACTAGTAAAAGATTTCCCACATTCACTGCATTTATGCGTTTCTCCAGTGTGAACTTTCTGATGATACTGGAGACCACTGATACTTGTAAAAGTCTTCCCACATTCCCTGCATTTATAAAGTTCTTCTCCAGTATGAATTCTCTGATGATATTGTAGTTTAACCCTAGCAGTAAATGATTTTCCACAGTCACTGCATTTATAAGGTTTTTCTCCAGTGTGAACTATCCGATGATATTGGAGACCACTGTGACCTCTAAAAGCTTTTCCACATTGCCTACATTGATAACGCTTTTCTCCTGTGTGAATTCTCTGATGTCTATGAAGGCCAGAGTTGGCTGTAAAAGATTTCCCACATTCATTGCATTTATAAGGCTTCTCTCCAGTGTGAACTCTCTCATGATATTGGAGACCACTGAGACCTGAAAAAGTTTTTCCACATTCAATGCATTTATAAGGCTTTTCTCCTTTGTGAACTCTCTCATGATATTGGAGACCACTGAGACCTGAAAAAGTTTTTCCACATGCACTGCATTGATAAGGCTTTTCACCAGTGTGAACTCTCTGATGTCTACGAAGGTGTTTGTTGCTGGTAAAAGCTTTCTCACACTCACTACATTTGTAAGGCTTTTCTACACTGTGAACTCTCTGATGATGATGATGAAGGTGAGAGTTAGTGGTAAAAGATTTCCCACAGTCACTGCATTGATAAGGATTTTCTCCTGTGTGAACTCTCTGATGATATTGGAGATCAGTGCTCCTTGTAAAAGACTTTCCACATTCATTGCATTTATAAGGATTTTCTCCTGTTTGAACTCTCCGATGATAATGAAGGTGAGAGTTAGTTGTAAAACATTTCCCACATTCAGAGCACACAAAACATCGACTTCTAACACCCTTTTCCTGAAGAAACATGTTGGGGTAACTAATGTCTTTCTTACATTCTTTTCTGTTGTAACAAATTTCTGTCTTTTGAAACATCATCCCGAGTGTTGAAATAGCATTTGGACTGTCCCTGGTCTGAGTAGCCTTTAGGTGGAGATGTTTTGATTCGGTAAGGACACCCTGCCCAACCTCCCCGTATGTGAAACGATTCTGGGACACATTTAAATTGCAGCTGTTTGTAAGTGAGATCCAGTCCACACCTGTAATCAAAGTGTTCTCTTTCATATGCTGCTGGTGAAATTTTACACTGAAGTAAAACCGTTTTGCACATGCCCCACACCTCAACAGTATCTGTTCATAATGTAATCCCTGCAGCTCTATCTCTTTGAAAATATTTCCCAAGACTATTCCACAACTCTCACAGGGATGGCTCTTCTGGGAAGACAAGGCTACCTTGGGATTCCTTGCCTGTGACAATCCTACAGAAATCTTCTGCTCGGTTGGTGTCTCCACATTCTCTGCTCCACAGCAGCAACCTGTATAAAAGGAAATGCTGGTGAGGTACATGTTGACCTTATGAAAACAGAATATCTTCACCACAAATGTTTATCTGTCACGACTAGGCATGATTGCATAGAAAGATTTTCAAGATGAGTGAGTTAGATATCGAGGAAATTGCTATTATAAATAACCAAGCCCCAAAAGTCAGTCGATGATAGAAATCTCACCAAGAGAGGGACAGAAGCATAGGAGTAGATACAAAGAAGAGAGGATGGCTCTACCCCTTGTTTTTGCACAAATGTCTTCGTTTAGGACCTTACATTCTGACCATGTGAGTCTGTGTGGAATACTTTCAAGCTCCTCAAAGCCATAAAAATTAATTATATTAGATCACAGGATATACAACTTCAATATAATAACACTTGTGCTCTCCAAGGTGCTGCAGGCATGGACCAATGTTGGCTTGCAGTACAGAGAGACCTGTGAAAGAGGCAGAGGTACAAAGTCCAGAGAGATTAAGGTTATCCGTGAGTTGGGAATCTAAGTAGAAATGATAAAAGTTAAACTGAATAGTTGGTATCAACAATAAGCACAAAAAAGCTTCATTGTGTGAGAAATGGGCAACTCTAACAAAACACTGGGTTTCTAGCTATGAATATTAAAAAGGCTTGGCATGGATTTCTTCCCAATGACCCTTCCCCAAAGAAAGACCCCCGCAGGGTCCACTGTGTCATTCATAAAGTCATGTTTCTCCTGTGATGCACAAATGATTCTTCCGCATTAGAGGCACTGCTTGGAATAAATAATGTAAAGAACAAGGAGGGTCAATACTGTGGTAGAACAACAAAGGACAAATGAGATCACAGTCAAAAGAAAAATGTGAGTGACATCAGCAAGTTGGTAGGATCAGAGATATGAGCTTCTTCCCCCATCCCAGTGTAAGTAGACAGCTTGCCATGAACATAAACCCCATAGCAAATGGGAATAAGAGTACAATGAAGACTAAAGTATTACAGAAACAAATAAAGGAGAACTGTATAGAAAGAATGACTGGAAAGACTGGGTGAACAAATATATTTGAAGATACCTACAGTCAAAAACAAGGGTCAGAGTTACCTCCAAAAGCCACTGTGCTTCTCCTATCATTAACCCTAGTGGCCTATTCTACAATAAAATGTGGGTTCCATTTCCAGTTAGCTTGCGTAGAGAAGGTAGCCAATTGATGTTTCTCCCTCACTCTGATGTCTCTCTCTCTCTTTCTCTCTCTCTCTCTCTCCATCTCTCTTCCTCTCTATCTGAAAGCAATAATAAATAAATAACAATTTGAAGGTAACCAAACCCAAAACTAAATTCAAAACAATATAGTGACAAAGTAAATAAAAAGAAAACCTATAGCCCCGCCGGGTGTAGCTCAGTGATAGAACGTCGACCTAGAAACCAAGAGGTCACCAGTTCGATTCCAGGTCAGGGCATATGCCCAGGTTGCGGGCTTGATCCCCAGTGGGGGACGTGCAGGAGGCAGCCAATCAATGATTCTCTCTCATCATTGATGTTTCTATCTCTCTCCCTCTCCCTTCCTCTCTGAAATCAACAAAAATATTTTAAAAAGACAACCTATAAAAATCATGTATAAAATTCAGAAAATACAATTCTAAGAGGAAATTTTATAGGGAAAAATGCCTACATTATAAGAAAAAGATCTCAAAAAACCTAACCTTCCATCTCAGGAATCTATAAACAAAACAAGAAAGTAAACCAAAAGGGTGCAAAGAAATGACGCAAGAAATATTTGAACGAACAAGCAAAAATATAAAAGGGGCATAAGACAAAATAAAATGCCTAACAGGTACTTTTCTCAAATACAAAAATTGGTACACCTTGATCTAGACTAAAGAAAAACAAACAAAAACAAGCCTCAACGAAATTCAGAAAAAGAAATGAAACGTAAGAGGTTACACTTGACACAAGGAACCCCAAGTTCATTAGAGAGGTTGATATTGCGAAACAAGAATACTGAACTTACAAGCAACCGATTCCTGTGACCTCCAGAAGGTCCTGGGGGGGTGAGGGGCGGATGAAGACATATATGAGGAGAAACTGCACTGACTGGCATCGGGGCAGGAACTAAGGGGCGGCTTTCTCCCAGACAAAGGAGCTCAAAGAGGTCATTATACCTACGTTGGGACATCCCAGGTCGCAAGTCTGATGGACAACCATTTCAGTTTGCTTCACTGTGGGGATTCCTTGACACCTCACTTTATCCAGTTTAAAACCCCACCCAAGCTATGTGCAGCTCCTTCTCTATATGAATGGCCTGTCTTGTTAGGCTAAATCCTGTCAAAAAAGTCGCAGTTGGGTCTGGGAGCCCCAAACCTATCAATAAAAGGCTCAAGATGGGGTAGCAGCACTAGCCTCCCATAATTCAAGGCTGGGCCTCATCAGGGCATTTCCAAACCCGATACAAAGAGGAGAATCTACAAATCTCTCTATAGATCCAGCTGGATGTCTTCAGGCCGTGGCTGACTTTACACCTCCCTGGAAAACCAAGAGCCAGTGTATCCAGTGGTCAGTGTCATACCATAGCAGCTTACAACTCTTTTTAAAAAAATATATATTTCTATTGATTTTTTACATAGAAAGAGAAAGGAGAGAGAAAAACATGAATGTGAGAACAAAATATTTTTTTAATACTTT